CATCTCACTCTATAGGCCAGGAGCCAGCGCTGTCTGCAGACACTTCCAGGTCACGTGGCCAGCGTGACAAGCTGCATCTGGCAAGCCAGCGCAGCACATGGAACGCCGTTTACCTTCCCGCTGGTAAGCGGTCCCTATTTATCTACTTGCACCCGAAGGTGCTTTCGAACTGCTAGGTTGGCAGGCGCTGGGACCGAACGACGGGAGCGCACCCCGCCGCAGGGATTCAAACCGCCGACCATTCGATCGGCAAGTTCTAGGCGCTGAGGCTTTAACCCACAGCGCCACCCGCCTGAACACAGCGCCACCCGCCTTAAGATGTCTTCTGAATGTCAGGTAGTTATTTATCGCTTTGACATCTGATGGGAGGACGTTCCACAGGGCGGGCGCTACTACCAAGAAGGCCCTCTGCCTGCTTCCCTGTAACATCACTTCTCGCAATGAGGGAACCGCCAGAAGGCCCTCGGCGCTGGACCTCAGCGTCCAGGCAGAATGATGGGGGTGGAGATTCTCCTTCAGGTATACTGGGCCGAGGCCGTTTAGGGCTTTAAAGGTCAGCACCAACACTTTGAATTGTGCTTGGAAACGTACTGGGAGCCAATGTAGGTCTTTCAAGACCGGTGTTATGTGGTCTTGGCGGCCGCCCCCAGTCACCAGTCTAGCTGCCGCATTCTGGATTACGGTAGTTGTAGTTTCTGAGTCACCTTCAAAGGTAGCCCCACGTAGAGCGCATTGCAGTAGTCCAAGCGGGAGGTAACTAGAGCATGCACCACTCTGGCGAGACAGTCCGCGGGCAGGTAGGGTCTCAGCCTGCGTACCAGGTGGAGTTGGTAGGTCCAGGGCTTTTTTTCCAGGGGGAAAACCCACCAGAACTAAGTTCCAGCACCTCTCAGGTAGGTTCTGGAACCTCTCAGGTGAGTTCCAGCACCTCTCATGTGGGTGCCATTGCCATTCTAAGACAAAAAGGGAAGCGTTCATGGTGGGTTCCGGCACCAGTGTGGTGTAGTGGTTAAGGGCGGTAGACTCGTAATCTGGTGAACCGGGTTTGCGTCTCCGCTCCTCCACATGCAGCTGCTGGGTGACCTTGGGCTTGTCACACTTCTTTGAAGTCTCTCAGCCCCACTCACCTCACAGAGTGTTTGTTGTGGGGGAGGAAGAGAAAGGAGAATATTAGCCGCTTTGAGACTCCTGAAGGGGAGTGAAAGGTGGGATATCAGATCCAAATTCTTCTTCTTCTTCTACCTCTTTTTCTGGAAAAATAGACTGGGTAGGTCTCTGATCCAATCTGGGCAAGTCAAATCTTTGCTCAGTCTTCTGAGCAGTTTTGACCGGGAGTGGCCACCAAGACCGTATAACAACGGTCCTGACACACCTTCATTGGCTCCCAGTACGTTTCCGAGCACAATTCAATGTGTTGGTGCTGACCTTTAAAGCCCTAAATGGCCTCGGCCCAGTATACCTGTAGGAGCGTCTCCATCCCCATCGTTCAACCCGGACACTGAAGTCCAGCTCCGAGGGACCTCTGACAGTTTCCTCACTGCAAGAAGCGAGGTTACAGGGAACCAGACAGAGGGCCTTCTCGGTAGTGGTGCCCTCCCTGTGGAATGCCCTCCCATCAGATGTCAGGGACTATCTGACTTTTAGAAGACATCTGAAAGCAGGTGTGTTTAGGGAAGTTTTTAATGTTTGATGTTTTATCTTGTTTTTAATATTCTGTTGGGAGCCAGCCAGAGTGGCTGGGGAAACCGAGCCAAATGGGCGGGGTATAAATAATAAATTGTTGTTGTTGTTGTTTTAGCAGCAGTTTCAGCTGATGAGTGGTGGGAGCAATCCAACCATCAGGGACTCAATTTAAGCTCCTGGTTGTTTCTTTGAAGCCCTGCCCTGCCCACATCAGATGTTTTGTGACTTGCCCAAAATGGACTTGTGGCCCACAGGAGAAGGCCTGGCAAACCAAGTCTGGCTCACAGGCCAGAGGCTTCCAACCCCTGGTCTATGCAGAAGTGGGGACCATGCCAAACCAGATGCCCAGATACTGAGCTTTGGCCCTCTGCCTCAGTAGGAAAATAGCAAAGTGCCTTATACTATCTATCTGTCCAGCTCAGTATTTTCTGGACTGACTGGCAGTGGCTGTCTAGGGCTGGAACTACACTCACCTTTTAAAAGTTATTAGAACGATATTAGAAATATCATTGTAAAAGGCAGCAAAAGTCCCCTTTGGTTTCGCTTTCCCTCCCTGGTTTCTGGTTGCTCTGCAGCGCCCTCTGGTGTCACATTTTAATAATGCATTATGAATGTTTTTTTTAAAAGTCGTATGGTTATATGATTGTCAGAATAATTCCTTAACTCCTTTTTAGCGTTAAAAACCTTAAGTGTAGATCTACACCAGGATTTCAGGCCAGGAACATCCATAGCCCTACCAATTTCCTATGACTGAAAGTTGATTCGAACTTAACATTATCTTGTATCATTATCAGAAAAGAAATTGAGATCAGATTTGCTTTTGAGAAACCTATTCTGGGTCTTAGTAATCACAGTGTCCTATTCTATGTGCTCGCAGACTAACTGTTGAAAGACAGTATGCTATTGAGGTGGTTCATTCCAGAGCATTTACCCAAACAGGTGAAGTGGCACAAATATTTTGGGCGTTTCTGTGTTTGAAAGCATTGGACACAATGTTTCATTCTGGGAGTAGGGGAAATGGAATTATTACAAAGGCAACAGTTGATTTTCCTACTGTTTGAGATTAGAATCTCCGGGCCTTGAGTTCTAGCCAAAAAGATGATCTTCCTTGTCTTGTCTCTGCACAGTTGGGTGCCTTTGGGCTGCTGGCACTGCTAACTTTGAGCCAAGCTGCCAGCAACCCATTTACAAACCTGTTGCAATTGCAAACACATCCTCCGTTTGGCTAATATGGCTGAGCACAAGGACACTCCCATACAGAGTGCATTGCAGCAGCCCAGTCTTGCAAAACCTGACAATTGTCACATACCGTATTTTTCGCCCTATAGGACACACTTTTCCCCCTCCAAAAATGAAGGGGAAATGTGTGTGCATCCTATGGGGCGAATGCAGGCTTTCGCTGAAGCCTGGAGTGCACACCGACCCCTCTCGCTCTCCAGGCTTCAGGAGAGCCCCACCGCCAGCCCCACAAGCTCGGGGGACAGCGGGGAGGCGGAGCATGCCTTTCCTGCTGTCACCCGACTTGGTTAGAAGGCTGGCGGGGGGGGGAGTAGCCTGCTCCTCCCCGTCGCCAGCCCCGCAAACTCGGGGGACAGCGGGAGGCGCAGCGCGCCTTTCCCGCTGTCCCTCGACTTGGTTAGAAGGCTGGCGGAGGGCTTCCCCCTCCTCCAGCCCCGCAAGCTCCCAGAGCGATGCCCAAGCTTCCCCCGCCCCGCGCCTGGGGGGGGGAAATAATTTTTTTTCCCCTTTATTCCCCCCCCCCAAAATCTAGGTGTGTCCTATGGGCCGGTGCGTCCTATAGGGCGAAAAATACGGTACATTTCCAGTGCCTTTCTATAGCTAGCTGTGTTCGGAAACATACCCTCACCAGCAGAAGTGTATTTATGAGTGGAGCAATGGGGTCAGGGTCCAAGGTGGCAAATTTGAGGGGGAGTAGTATTTGCAGCACTAGCAGGGGAAAGAGACTCTTAGCTTTCATTTTTAAAGTACCATCTTAAATACCTTCACAGAAGCTTATGAAAAGCTTGGCCTATCGCTCAACATCCAAAAAACCAAAGTGCTGCACCAACAAGCACAAAACAACTCAATAGTGTTACATTGGAAAGTGTCAATCACTTCTCCTCCCTGGGCAGTTATCTTTCCACAAGGGCCAACATTGATGCCAAAATCCAGCATCGCCAGATCTCTGCAAGTGTGGCTTTCTCCTGATTGAAGTGCAGAGTGTTTGAGGCCCAGGACATTTGCAGGGAAACCAAAATGCTTGTTTACAAAGCTAATTGTACCACCAAGGTTACTGTATGCCTGTGAAACATGGATCACTTATAAACACCATCTCTAACTCCTCAAAAGGTTCCATCAATGGCGTCCCCAATCATTTTTACACACGACTTGGGAAGACAGGCAAATTAATGCCAGTGTACTGGAAGAAGCAAAGATCACCAGTGTTGAAGCAATGATTCTTCAACATCTTCGTTGGACTGGTCATGTTGTGCAGGTGCCTGATTATCATCTTCCAAAACAAATACTCGATTCCAAACTTTAAAATGGAAAGTGTAATGCTGGTGGTCAACAAAAGAGGTGTAGACTTTCTCAAGGCAAATCTAAAAAAAGTAGTATAAACACTGGCAATTGGGAAACACTGGCCATGGAGTGCTCCAATTGGAGAACAGCCTTTACCAAAGGTGTCCTGGACTTTGAAGATGCTCAAACTCAGGACGAAAGGGAGAAACGTGCTAAGAGGAAGGCATGCTTAGCAAACCCTCACTGTGATCAACTCCCACCCGGAAACCTATGTCCCCACTGTGGAAGGACGTGCGGATCCAGAATTGGCCTCCACAGTCACTTACAGGCCCACTATTAAAACCGTGTTTATGGAAGACAATCTTATTCGACTATGGGTTCACCAAAGAAGCAGAAGCAGCTTTCATTTTTAAAGAAGTAGTGAGGTCCTATGTCCTCTAGGAGAAACAATATAAGCCTATATTGATTCCTGCACATTTGTTTAAAGCAATGTGAAGTAAAGGAGTCTGAACCAAAGAGTTCTGTCATGGATGCTTTAGTTAAGATTCCTTGGGGTCCCTTCCAACTTTGTAATAGTGTTTTAAAGGTATGGTGTGAACGGGAGCTATCCCTTTAATGGGAAGCCCATTGCAGGGCCTGAATGCAAGAACTCTCCCCTCCCACGAATCCCAGAAACTGCAATTCAGAACTACGGCTGCCTCAAGCTGCTGTGCTTTTCAAAGGCTTTAAGCTGTGGAGTTTAAATCACTAGCTAAAAAATAAATAAAAACAAGGCCTCTGGTCACACAATTTTGTTTCATTTAAAAAAAACATTTATTTGTAAATTCAACAGATTAAAAAAAACCTTATATAACAAATACAAATAGTAACAAAATAAGAATACACATAACACATTATATACATAGTGCTCATCACATTAAGGACTCGGCTAGGCTAGTAAAGAAAAAGTGTTGTGTATGCAATATAACACTGTGCCACCAGATGGCGCTGTGGAGTCCCATCTTTCCCTCCCGGATTCCCCTGTTTAAATTTACAACACATTTAACTGAAACTCTTCTTTGATGTGTTCCAAATCCAGTCTAGATATCCAAAAGGCATCCGCACAAAACTGGCATCTCTAGGACATATTTTCAAATGTTGCCAAGGCAATGCAAAAGGTTGTTATTTATCAAAATGTGTGTGCTATGTACAAAACTAAGCAGAAATAGCTCATTGCATTGCATTTGTGGTTTAGTACGCTCGCCTTTCTGCACTGCTACACATGAGGCAGCCCAGGAGCCGCAGAAACGATGAAAAACCTCACATTCTACTGCAATGCAATGCCAGTAGGTCATAATGAGGGGAAAACGTGACTCTAGAAATAAACAAGTCAATCCAAGTGCTGTCCAATAGTTCCTTTCAAACACAACGGGACAGTGATAAAAGTATCGTAGCTCCAGGTTGGTGCAAATCCTATGTGGTTGTTCTGTATTTTGGTGGGAAGGTGGATTTTTGCTACAAAATACCAAACACCACCCATGTTCTTTGGGGGAACCCAGTGGCTGTGATGCACGCGGCCAATGAGAATTGTAGTCCAAAACATTTGGAGGGCATCAGATTGTGAAGGTTGCTGTAATTATTCATGTGCTTTCTCCTGAAGGGATACCAGAATATCCACGCTCCACTATCCAGGCATAGGCAAACTTGGCCCCCCAGGTATTTTGGAACTACAACTCCCATCATCCCTAGTTAACAGGACCAGTGGTCAGGGATGATGGGAAGTGTAGTCCCAAAACAGCTGGAGGGCCGTTGAGTTTCTCCCAAGTGCAAGTTTTGTAATGCGAATTAACGTATGTATTCCACCAAAACCTCGATGTTTATAAAGTGCGTTCACCTCCGTGAATTCTCTGGTGAAGTTTAAGACTTGATCTGTGACGGAAACTCTTCTCACACTGGGAACATTGATACGGCTTCTCCCCTGTGTGGATTCTGTGGTGCCTGTTGAGGTTTCCGCTCCAGCCGAAGCTCTTTCCGCACTCGAAGCATTTGTACGGCTTCTCCCCTGTGTGAATTCTTTTATGCACTCTCAGGTACGTGCTCTGAACAAAGCTCTTTCCACACTCTGAGCATTTATAGGGCTTTGTGCCAACATGGAATCCCTGGTCTGAGCTGCGAGAGAATGGCTTCCTGTTCTCTGAGTATTCATGTGGTTTTTCTCCCATGTGGATTCTCTGATGTTTAGTAAGATTCATCCAGCCAATGAAACCCTTTCCACACTCTGAGCACATCAACAGCCTCTCTCCATTCTCCATATTCCTTTTGTTTCCCGCATGACATTCTGCCAGTATAGGAACTTCACGGAAGCCAGTCCCTACAGAAGTCAAGCGCTTCTTCTGCTTTTGTTCAGTTTTCTTTCTTTGAGGACTGTTTTCTTCATCACCATCACTCCCATCGCCTGAAAGAATCGAGAGAGAAATCAGGAACAGGTCCTCAAATCAGGAAGGAAACTCAATGAAATCAAAGAAAGCAGAAAATATTAAGTGGGGAGGCAGATCCCTTTCAATTCCATCAAACAGCCTCTGATGGTGAAAAGGAAATAAGAACTGATACTGTTGCACATGCCACATAATATGTTCCGCATTTTGGGGAAATTGATATTTTAGTATGGCAGTCTCTATACTTCGGAACTCCCTGCATATTGTGCCTTCACTGTACTCTTTTTGGTGCCTGCTAAAACCGTTTTTTGCTCAGGCAAGTCTACCCAGATATCTAGAATACTGATGTGTTTGTAGTATATTCCCATTTTTAATTATTTGAATTTACCCTTGGTTTCTGTTTTAACTCTGAAGCACAACCCAAATCCTGCAAGGAAATAGCTGTAGTTCGATGATACAACATGTGCCTTGCTTTGAGGTTTTTCTATAATCAAGTGCTAAGTATTTTTGTGTGTGAAATAAGTAGCATAAATTATTAGCATTAGTAAATCTATTACGCACCCTCTGCCAGCAGGTCCTGGGGTGGTTTACAACAATCTAAAATTTTTAGTTTTAAAAAGAATTTTAAAAATTACAGTCCTGGGAAAGGGGCATGCTCTCAAAACATGTCTCAGGTCTCAAGGCCAGGGTAGAGAGCTACGTCTTCAGCATTCAGTTACAGGTAAGCTTTTATAAAGACTTTCTTAAACTGAGGGGAGCCCCTGTTGTGTATCTTTCAGAAATGAATTCCAGAGTGCAGGAGACACTACCAAAAAGGTCCTGCCTGCCTCTGGTGCCCACCAGTTGAATTAAGGAGGGCATGGGAGTCTGGCCACACAGAAATAAAAATGTCTGCCAGGTTTCTGCATAGCTTGCTAGGCCAAAAATGCAGGGAGTCCCATGTCAATTCAGCACCTACCTGCTAATTTCTCCTCTTCTTCAGAGCCCTCAGTGAGTGCATTTTCCCATTATTTCTGCAAAGCGATGTCAGATCTGGAAACTGGTAGTCCTTTTTTGAGAGAAAGAAGATATTATTATTTATTCAATTTGTATACTGCCCTTTATCAGGGCGGTGTACAACATTAAAACACATTACGCAGCATCAATGACAAAAACATAATAAAGAGCATTCTGACAGACAACCTAAGTAGAATAATAGTCCCCACACTTTTACAGGTCATAGATTATTTAATCGCCATAGGCCTGGGTAATGGTATAATGCTGCCTTAAATGTATTGCTTGGATGGGGCCAGAGCTTATTTAACTGACTATTTATTTATTTGATTTTTTTTTTTTTGCACTTTCATAGCATATATCAAGGCAGCTCGTGGCATAAATTCAATTAAATCAGTCAATAAATATCTGTAAAATGGTAAGCCAGTAAGCTTACTGGGAAATGATATATAATGAATTGAAGAGGATGTTCAAAATAACCTTTCTTAAAAAAAAAACACAACAAAAAACCCTTCTCTTTTGGGAATTTAGCGACAGAACTACCTAAATTGTATAGAAATTTATTTATGTATGCGACTACAATAGCAAGGATGCAAAAACTTATGGACTATGCAGAAATGGTGAAATTTACCGGAAGAATAAGAAATCAAGATAAACTTTTTATAAAAGAATGGAAATGACTTAGTGAATATTTACAGATAAATTGCAAACAGATAAAAACATTGGCAGGATTACTGCAATAACCTGCAGTTTCATTCGAGTTTATATTTAAAGTAGATAATTAAATGAGCAAATTAAATGTGTTTGGATATGCAGAAGATATTAAAAAAATAAATTTAAGGAACTGCAGAAGGGGCGGGGGGCGGAGGAAGCCAAACTTTGAAATGTTAAAACGATTGTGAAATTAATGAAATGTATGAATTTGAAAAGTATAAATAAACTTTAAAATAATGAAAATTAATATCTGTAAAACGTGTTTACAAACATCAGTAAAACAGCAACAGATACTAGCTGGCTGAAGGGGGGGGGAGAAATCCCTATTGTAAAGATGTAACTAAAAAGTAAAGTTTTTAAGAGAGACATAGCTGTCATCGTTTCCCTTTTTTAAAGGGAAATTCCCTTATTCCGAATAGGATTCCTCGCAATAAAAAGCAAATGTTGACAGCTATGTAGACGTCTGAAAGAAGGCAGGGAGTTCCGCAGGGTGGAGCCTGCCACACTAAAGGCCCTGTCAGCTACTGTCACACGCCGTGACGTTTCCCACAATGCACTGCCGCATACAAAGAGCAGCCACTATTCCTGCTTTCAGGATCTATCAGCCAAAACCAAGGAGGAGCCTTACCTAGAAATACCAGACTCGCATAATTCTCCTCCATGACTTCTTTGTGCAGCGCTCTCTGGCTCGGATCCAACAGAGCCCATTCGTCCTCTTTGAAATCCACTGCCACCTCCTCAAGGGACACGGGAGCCTGAAAGAAGGATGTCCCATCAAATCCCACACCTCTCGCTGGGTGATTCCAACCGTCTCCCCAACGATTCCGCCCACCCCGTACCTGTTCCAACTGAGCAGAAGCCATTCCCAGTCCACCACAAAGAGGAGGAGGCCTAGAAGGAACCTCTGGGGCCATCTCGGTGTCTCCAAACGTTGTTCGACATCCTACGGGGAAGACAAAGAAAACGGGGAGGCGTTTTAGGCTCCGTAATTTAACCACAGGATCCAGGCATAGTCAAGAGAAGGAGAGACTATGTTGAAGCCTGCTCCGTTATGGTCCTTACCCAGAAAGGTGGTGCCCATGTCAGCCTCCTGTTTGATCTCCCTGAACAGTGGCCTCTCGGTGGCATCTGGCAGGGTGTTCTCTGCCTCCATGAAATGTGAAGTTGCTTTGGATGACATCTCCTGCGCCTGAGATAGGAACCCATGCAAGAAAGTGTGTGGGGGAGAGAGAGAGAGAGACAGGAAACAGGTCATGAAAAGGCCAGGGGTGCCATTAAATAACGCAAGATGAATCAATGTTCAAGTATTAAGTTATTATTACCGTATTGGCCCTTATATAAGCCGCACTTTCCCCCCAAATTCCGACCGTGAAAGTAAAGTCCTTATATTCACAACCTTACAAAAATTATCCAGTATGCCAGGCACAGCAAAGTGGTGCCTGTCCCACGCGTAGTCCCCCGTCCTCTCCCCCAAGGCCGGGAAGGGAGAAAGCGGGGAAGGGAGCGGCTTATATTCGGGCCAATACGGTATCATCATCATTATTAATAATTATTATTTAACCTCCCTTTCACTCTAAGGTCCCAGGGCAATTCAAAAATTGGATTCATAGAAGTAAGGAGAGTCCTAAAAGCATACACCTCAAAAGCCAGGGTAAAAATCAGCGTCATCAGCATTCGCTGGAAGCTGTATAATGTAGGTACCAGATGTACCTCTGTGGGGAAGGAGTGCCACAGCTTAGGGGCCACCACAGAGAAGGCCTTCTTTTGCCACCCACCAAACCTCTGAAGGTGCAGGAACTACCAAGAGGGCACCATCTGCTGATCCCAGCGCCTGAGAGGGTCTAATTTATCAGCTAGAAGATTGATCAGCACTTCGTGAGGCAGTGAATCCAAATACAACCAAGGATTGGGGCCTTGGAATTACCAAAGCAAAACAGTCTCTCACCTCAGCCTCCTTCTGGTCTTCCACTTGGCTCATGAGAAAACCTTCAGCCAGGGCCACTGCCTCGGCGCTGGTCTCCGGCCCACAATCTTTGACCCAGCTTTGCATCTCCGGGGGGAGGGAAGCCAGGAACTGCTCCAGGATCACCAGGTCCAGCATCTGAGCCTTGGTGAGTCTCCTTGGCTTCAGCCACTGTTGGCAGAGGCGGTGGAATTGGCTGCAAACCTCTCGGGGCCCCTCGGCCTCCTGGTAGCGGAAATGCCTGAAACGTTGGCGCCGAGCTTCAGAGCCAAGGACGTCCTCCTCACCCAGGATCTCCTGTGCGGTTCTCTTTGAGGCTGTCACACTGCCCCTCGCCTGGACGACGTGAGGAGCTACCCCTGCTCTTTCCCCTGCGTCAGTTGCCACAGAGCCTAGCTCTTCCATCTTTCCTCCACAGAGCCGGTCATTTGCCTTTTCTTTCTGCCTAGGAGGGAAGGAGCGTGTTGTATTGCTGCTTCTTTCGGCCTTGTCAGCCACATCTCTGTGCCATTTCATGAGATGACTGTGCATTGTGGTGGTTCCCACCTGCTGGCAGCCACTGGGCTTCCCAAGACTAACAGTTTGACTGCAACGGGCCGCAAATTTGCTATTGGCATCCTTGGCGAAGAGTTTCCACACAAAAGACGTTTTCCCACGATGGGCTGATGGTTCCATGTTGGCGGCAACCTTTTGAAGTGGGTTCTTTTGGGGCATTTTGAAGCCAGAGGCTCCTCCTTCCTTGAGTCCTGGTAGTGCCCTTTCCTTTGCACAGTCCTCCGGTACCAGCACAGCGTTGCCATCTCTGGACTCAAAATCTTGGCTGCTGTTGCCCTCTAGCAAAGTGAATTCCATTGGCTGGCATGCCACACAGGTCAGCGGAGTGGACTGCAATCTAGAACTGCCTGACATGGACCGAGTGTGAGGCCTGGAGGGTGTCATCTGGCCACTTCCTGCTACCTCGTTAAGAGCGGAGTGAGACCCCAAGGTGCCTGAGACAGACCGGGTTCGAGGCCTGGAAGATGCAGTCTTGCCACTTTCTGACGCCTTCTCAAGGACGTCCCTGTGCTTTCTCATCATGTGACTGTGCATTGCAGTGGTTCCCACCAGTTGGCAACCATCAGGCCTCCCAAGGCGAATGGCCCTATGGCAGACACGGCACTGGACCACAAATTTACTTATGGTCGTGAAGTATCTCCACACAAAAGAGATCCTCTGCCTTTTTGCTGGTGGCTCCATAGTGGTGGTGTCCTCTGGCTCAAGGGACGTGGAGGAGGACTGTCTTAGGAGGCGCCTGCTTCTACGCAGCTTTGGGACCTCGCCTGGGGTGCTGTTCAGGGGAACTTGGACACAATGTGCTTCTGCTTGCGCTGGAAGTGGCAAGTTCAGCACGTCAGAACTGGACGGTTCCTTCTCTTCCTCCATGCTGCTCTCCAATGCCAGAACGAAATTCTTATCATCCAACTCAAAAAGATCCTCTTGGGAAGGCTCCAGTGGAGATTCTTCCATAGGGTTTTGGGAACCACTCCATGCCTCTTTTATGCTGAACTGTGGTCCGAACCAGTTCCTTTCGTTTGTCCTCTCCATCTTATTCTGCAGGTTGCCCATTGTGCAAGAGGCAGTCACTGTGAAGCAATCCAGCAGAGTCTAGTTTTTTTCTGGTGGGAGAGAAAGAGAGAGAGAAATCAATCAATCACTGCTTTTCAATAGAAGCACCCATTGAAATTTAATGGAAGGCAATTTGTATGAGCTTAAATGTGCACTGTAGTTTTTGGATTCATTCAAGTTGCTGGAAACTCCTTATTTCCCAAGTCAGAACCTGCAGGTTCTGTACTGATCCCCAAGGTCTTTTGGACCTCATAGTGATTGCAACTCACAACAAGGTGCAGATGATTTGCAGAAAAGTTGATTTTATTCTCTGCAAGTTTGTCACTTACTCTTCTCCAAACCATGTGTTTTCCCCCCCCCCACACACACAAATTTTTCCTGTTGCTGCACTTCCTTCCACAAGCAAAAGCCTCACATCAGAAATAGGAAACATGTGTGGTCATGGCACTGTTTCAGAAACTATTGGAAATATAGCATTAATTTATTTCATAGAATTTCTATACTGCTTGGGTTTTTTGTGTGCGCTTTTTAAAAGCCTCAAATCAATCAATTTAAAAAAGATAATACTGTAACATCAAGGGAGGGAACCCCATTGTATTTTGAAACATTTTTTTGAAAAAAACTAAAACTTATTAAAATTCCCTCAACTTCTAAGCCGTAAAAGCACTTGATCAGAAGGCAAGTAGGTGCTGCAACACTAAACAAGGCAGGATCTGACATTTCTAACCTTCCTTTCACATTACAGAACAGGCAACTGTGGTGTGATTGAAATTTAGAATGGCGTAACATTATTAAATGTCTGGATGTGAAAAAAGAACATTTTTTAAAAAACACAGAACTTATAACACCCATGATCCCTAGTTAGCAGGACCAGTGGTCAGGGATGATGGCTATAATCTGTAAATCTAACCAAATAAACCCAATGTCCAAAACATCTGGAGGGCCGAGTTTGCCTATGCCTGTTCTAGCGATCCCAGTTTGATGTATTACTATGAACCAGGGGCAAGTCAACTACACGGTTCAGGGGCAGTGCGAAAGGATTGCAAAACTTTGGCACCAGTTTGGAGGGGCCCCCAAATTTCAGGGTTTGCAGTTAATGAAGCTCCAGACCATGTTTTGCAGTGAGTCTGCATATAAGCACCTATGTAGCTACTAAGAGGACAAATAGCACCAGCACTTTGCAGTGGTGAGGCAGAGGTCGCTTTTGGGGTGCTGGGGTTCCTAGGATGCTGTCTTAGGGACCCTGCACCCCAAAACGTAATGGGTCTACCACCCACGCAACCCCAGACAACTGCACCCCAGATGAGACTGACCAATGGCCCCTCCCAAAAATATACATAGAACAATTTAAATATGGGTGAGCTAAATTGATGAAGCGTGTGGCAACACCTAAACTTTGGAACTGCCTGTCTATTGACATCAAACAGGCATCCTTGCTATATTATTTTCAGCACCCACTTAAAACATTTTTGTTTAGGCAGGCCTATCCAGACATTTATTTTTTTAATAAAGAAAGATAAAAATGACTGGTTTTTTGCAGTACATTTCTAGAGCTAATTTAACTTTACCTCAGAGGAAAACCATTTGTTGAACATCTTTTTTTCACCCTTAACTTTATGTGTAATGCATTCAGCGGGGGAAAAACCAACAAATTTTTAGAAATTTTCCGTTAATTTCTGTAACACACCATGTAATACTGACACGTAGAAGTGTTTCCTTTCTTACTAACTGCCCTGGATTTTAATCTTCTGAATGTTTTCAATATTTGCTTTTAACTACAGTGGTACCTGGGTTTGCAAACAGTCTGGTTTGCATACGTTTTGGATTACAAACACGTCAAACCCAGAAGTGCGTGTCCCAGTTTGCAACCTTTTTATGGATTACAACCCTTTTTTATTATTACGAGAGAAAAAATTGGAGGCCCCATTGGCGAAAGCATGCCTTGGGTTACAACCTGTTTTGGTTTACAAACAGACCTCCGGAGCAGATTATGGTTGTAAACCAAGGTACGACTACAAGTTTGTTTGTTTTACACACTCGAGCTGTGTATATATTTTGTGTTTACACTTACACACACAGCCACACATAACCTCCCATTACACAATAAATAATAATAGTGCCAAAGCAATTTGCAACTAACGTAAAAATATGGTGTGGTGCCCAATGCTAGTCCTACTCAGAAGTTCATAGGTTTCTTAATTTCAGCAGGTTTACTCAGAGGAGACCAGCTGAAATTAAGAAACCTATGAACTACTTGTTCTTAGTTGGATACAAACTGGAGTAATAAAAATGGACACTGGCATGTTTAAAAGTCAGGATGGGAATATAGTATCATGAGAAGGGTTCATGCCTTTGATCGAGGGGGAGTTGACTATGAAATAGCTCTAAAGGGGGGTGGGAGCAAAGATCTTCCCTGCTTCTAATTGAAAGTTGCCCATTTAGTTTTCTCCCAACGGGATGCAAAAGGCGTTTCTCAGTGCTCAGACCCTGGGGGGAGACTATATTGGGGGGGAGGGAATGAACGAATTCCTATGCCCCACAAATAACCCAGAGATGCATTTTAAATAAAACTGCACTTTCTACTCATGTAAAAATACGCCGATTCCGGGACCGTCCGCGGGCCGCATTTAGAAGGCAATTGGGCCTTAAGTTTGCCTACCCATGTCTTAAGATTTCAAAGAGCGAGAAACAGAGCCTAGATAGGTCGCGTGCATGAGCGAGGGGGGCCGAAGGGCTGTCGTTATGCAGAAGTTTCCCATTTCCTTTTCAACCTCACAATCTGTTGCATTTGCATGCAAGGGCGCAGCCGGCGTGGGGGGGGCAGCTGCCCGAACCCAAACGATAAAAATGCATAGCAAACAAAAATCCTGAATAAGCCCGTGATTGCAGACAAATTTTTCCCCAGGGCTTTCGCATTTGTGCGCACCTCCCCGCTTTCCAAACGCACATTTTTACAGCTTCTTGCTGCTGTGCCGCTTTGCCCGTCTCCTTCCCGTCCTCTCCCCTGCTTGCCTGCCTGCCTTCTCCAGCCGGGAGCGCGCAGCAGCAGCAGCTCTCGCCTTCCCCTGACTGTAGGCGCGGGAGTCACGGGCAGGCGGTGCGCAATTGCCCCGCGCTCAGGGCTGGAGGAGGCAGGCAAGCAAGCAGGGGAGAGAGCGGGAAGGAAGCCGGATTGATGGGTGCGCGCGCGTCTCCTTCCCGTCCTGCTTGCTTGCCTGCCTTCCCCAGCCGGGAGCGCGCAGCAGCAGCAGCAGCTCTCGCCTTCCCCTGAACTGTAGGCGCGGGAGTCACGGGCAGGCGGTGCGCAATTGCCCCGCGCTCAGGGCTGGAGGAGGCAGGCAAGCAAGCAGGGGAGAAAGCGGGAAGGAAGCCGGATTGATGGGTGCGCGCGCGTCTCCTTCCCGTCCTGCTTGCTTGCCTGCCTTCCCCAGCCGGGAGCGCGCAGCAGCAGCAGCAGCTCTCGCCTTCCCCTGAACTGTAGGCGCGGGAGTCACGGGCAGGCGGTGCGCAATTGCCCCGCGCTCAGGGCTGGAGGAGGCAGGCAAGCAAGCAGGGGAGAAAGCGGGAAGGAAGCCGGATCGGTGGGTGCGCGCGCGCGGCTATCCCGCGCCTGGGAGCGCACTCTCCGCGCCCCTCGGAGCGCGCACCCCCTTGGGAACGCGCCTGCCCTGGGCAGCGACGGCATATGCTGCGCCACTGACCCTTCTTGCAATGCAGTCCGCCCCTGGTTCCCCAACGTGCCAAACATCCCTTTTTGGCGACGGCGGTGTCGGGAGAGAGAGAAAAGAGTTTCTGGTTGCCGGCAAAAGTTTTCAGAAAACTCCCCTCTCTGTCCAGGCCCCCAATCCCGCTACTCCCATCTCTATTTGATTGTTAAAGATCGGATCTATCAATTGGGACAGAGCCACACACACTCCGCTTTTCCCCGGAGCAAATCCCTGCTTCAACGGGAGCGCACGCCAAGTTGCTAGAGCTCTGGAGGTTTCGCATTACGAAAGGTATTCGCAATCATCGAAAGGGCAAGCCGATGCTGTTATTTGCAGAACGTAATTTCAAATAACTGCAACGGCTTGCCCTCTGGATGTTTTGGACTACTTTTCGTAATGCGAAAATATATAACATTTTACTAGGTTTTATACAAATATCACAAGAATAAAAACACACAGTAACAAAAATGAAAAATACAAAAATATACTAAAGCAATATTAAACCGCCCGCCCCCCCCCCGGGATTCCCTGAATCCCGTGACTTTCCTCCCCCCCCCTCCTGGTTCCTTTACCATATTTTTTTCTACTGCATATCTTATTTTTCCTTCAGGTTTTCTATAGTGTCCCTAAAATTACAAGTTACAAGTAGGTAGCCGTGTTGGTCTGCCGTAGTCGAAGCAAAATAATAATTAAAAAAATCCTTCCAGTAGTAGCACCTTGGAGACCAACTAAATTTGTTATTACTAAAATTACAAGTGTTCTTAAAATCCTGCCAATGCGTTAACGTGTTTACAGTGCGCAATTGTGTTTCTCAAACCGCCGCTGCAGCCAGGTTTCGCTTAAACCCAGCACAACCGAGCGGTTTAAGCTAAATCTGGCTGCCTGGGCAATTTGAAAAAAAAGACTTCATACCATTGTAAAAAAGAACCAACCTCAGGGTTTTAGGCAGACGATCCTACTCTCTGTAGCCAAAGGGGCGCTGCTGGAAGCTGGACGAAAGATGATTTCCAGTACAGTAATCCACACGTTCCCCAGAGAAGAAAAGACAGCGATCTCTCCTCGACCCTGCAAACGCGTGTGAGAAAGCTTTGCAAACTAAGGGTATAAATAGTCACGGCTGGTGAAAAGAAGGGTGGGGTCGTGCAGGGCAGGGCAGGAGGCGTGGCGACCTCCCAAGTCGTCGTCCCCTCTCCTACCCCCACCCCCAAACACGGAATGGAGAGCTTTGACCTTGTTCGGATCAAAGCGGGAGAATTGAGAGAGTTTAACGCCTCCGGCTAGTTTTCATATCCTGAGCACGTTTTTTTATTTTTTGTACTGTTTGTTTATTGCATTTATCTAATTCACTTCTCTTTTTTCCCCCCATCCAAGGAGCTTCTTGTAGGGGGGGTGAATTAGATGAGCCTTTGGTTCCAACCCTGCAACCCGATGATTCTGTGAATATCAGTTGCTTGGAATTGCAGATGGGGAGAAGGGTGTTGGGCTCAGGTACCATTTGCAGACCGCACTTGGGGGGGGGGTATTTATTTACTTATTGTATTTATTTCCTGCCTTTTCCTCCAAGAAGCAAAAAAGTTGGCATGCAGGGCTTTTCTCATTTAATCTCTCTTTCTTTTTAATAAAATTTTTATTAGGGTTTTTACATTACAAAATAGGAAAAGAAAAAATACAAAATAAAAATAGTTAAAAACAATCAATCTTTTCATCACATTATTTTTCATTTACTTGTTTCCCGGACCTCCTCGTACATCCCTATTTTGTATTCCAGTTCAATTTATTAGCTCAGCAGTTACTTTCCCTCTTTATTCTACCCTGATCTTTAATCTTAAGTTATTATAATATTAAATTTTTACTTATAAAAAACCATTTTTTCATATTCTTTTATACCATTACAGCTAGAAACCACTTAATTTCAATCCAACACCATTCTAACATTCATTAATTTTACAATATCTCTGTAAATAGTCTTTAAATTTCTTCCAGTCTTCTTCCACCAACTCCAACAACAACCCTGTGAAGTAGGTAGGGCTGAGGGTGAGGATTTGAACCCAGGTCCTGCACTACCCCCTGGCTCTTTCAATCATAGAATCATAGAGTTCCAAGGGGTCACCAAGGGTCATCTAGTCCAACCCACTGCAATGTAGGAATCTCAGCTGTGGTCTAAAAACCACTGAGACCAAGGCTTGCCGATCAGAAGGTTGGCAGTTCGAATCCCCGCAACGGGGTGAGCTCCCGTTGCTCGGTCCCTGCTCCTGCCAACCTAGCAGTTCGAAAGCACGTCAAAGTGCAAGTAGATAAATAGGTACCGCTCCGGCGGGAAGGTAAACGGCATTTCCGTGCGCTGCTCTGGTTCACCAGAAGCGGCTTAGTCATGCTGGCCACATGACCCGGAAGCTGTATGCCGGCTCCGTCGGCCAGTAAAGCGAGATGAGCGCCGCAACCCCAGAGTCGGTCACGACTGGACCTAACGGTCAGGGGTCCCTTTACCTTTTACCTTTACAGCTGAAGCATCCATGACAGAGGCCCATCCAGCCTCTGCTTATAAACCTCCATGGAAGCAATCCATAACCTTCCGAGATAGTCCACTGTTGAACTGCTCTTACTAAGAATTGCAGAGTTGGAAGGGACCCTGAGGGTCATCTAGTCCAACCCACTGCAATGCAGGAATCTTTTGCCCAAGATGGAGCTTGAACCCCAAACCCTGAGATTAAGAGTCTAGAGCCTGGGTAGGCAAACTAAGGCCCGGGGGCTGGATCAGGCCCCATCGCCTTCTGGGAGGGCATGTTTTTACATGAGTAGAATGTGTGCTTTTATTTAAAATGCATCTCTGGGTTATTTGTGGGCCATAGGAATTCATTCATATTTTTTTTCCAAAATATAGTCCGGCCCCCCACAAGGTCTGAGGGACAGTGGACCGCGGTGCCCCCTGCTGAAAAAGCTTGCTGACGCCTGGAGCTCTACCAACTAAGCTGAAGTTTAAGTCAGAAGCTTCAGGCACAGTGACTCTGTCACTAAGCATAAAATAGCTCACACAGTGGACAAACCTTAGAATCATAGAATCATATTGTTATTATAGTCACACCTCGGGTTACAGCCGCTTCAGGTTGCGTTTTTTCGTGTTGCAGACCACCGAAACCTGGAAGTACCGGAACAGGTTACTTCCGGGTTTTGGCGGTTGTACATGCGCAGAAGCGCTAAATTGCACTTTGCGCATGCACAGAAGTGCCGAAATCAACCCGCGTGTGCACAGATGCTGCTTTGGGAGGTCACTTCAGTGCTGCTATTGCAGCCGTTTGACTTCACCCCTGCAAGCACACTCCATTGTCTTTCGAGTTAGACGGATGCCAATGACAAACAAACTTAGTTCCTGGTTGCGGGCTTCCACCGTGAAAACTAGATGGGCCACTGGCCTGATCCAGCAGGCATTCCTGCATTGCAGGGGGTTGGGCTAGATGACCCCCTGGGGTCTCTTCCAACTCTACAATTCTATGATTCTTCCTACCTTCTTATGTGTGTTTGTGCTTCTGATGTTTGTTTGTATATTTATTGCCTCTGTTCATACAATTTCTCAGGAAGGTGATTTATTTGCATGGGAAAATAAATAATTGCAAATTCCACAAAGAAATAATAATAATAATAATAATAATAATAATAATAATAATACAAGAATAATGGAATGTCACCATCAGTTCACATTATGGATACAGTAAGCATAAATACAAGCCCTCTAATCTGCCCAAATATGCACCTACATGAAATTGACCTCGATATTAAATATTTCCAAATGCAGCCAGGTCAGTGAAAAATGCCATTGTTTATTTAATGTGTGTGTTGAATAAATATTCTCTGTTAACATTCCTTTACAAAACTAAAAGGAAATATTTCATTTCATTTTTAATTTGTATACCTCTACACTGATGTATAAAAGGCAGTCTGTAAGCCCCAGAAATGGCAAAATGATTCATTTCTCAAATTCTCAATTTCTCAATTTATATACTGCTTGTTCGACACAAAAACCTCACAGAGTGGTTTACAAGAAGAATAAAATAATGTTCTTGGGACCTGTAACACCTGGAGTGTTGAAACTTCAAACATACCCTGCCTTGCAGAGGGTAGAAAGAATCTTCACTCATATCCAGACACACTCCTGACTAAACTTAAAAGGACATCCCAGGTTGGCAAAAGCTATGAGGGTGTAGCTGTGAAACTGAACTAATCCAATTAATCACTAACTTGACCCCTGGGGGTCTGGATGGCAACAAGTCTTTGACTTTGAGGGCAGAAAAGTAGGTCACCAGCCTCACCTTCATCTTCTTAACAATGGGGAATGCCCTGGGCAATTACCTGGCTTGATGGCCTTCATTTGCAAATGTAAAAAGGGTGGGGTGGAGAGGAAAGAAGCCAAGGCTGACAAAACCAATCTATAAGTATATCTACAACCTATATGCATGTATCTACAGTAGCAATTGAAATTATTCAACCACCCACTGAAATCAAGTTGATTATCAACATTTACAGACGTTCAGCTGTTTGCAATGAGCAAATAAACAAAAGCAATGGAAATGGCTCAACACAAGGGATGCTTCAAGTGGTTCCCTCAAATTCAGCTGAAATTGCAATTTATATATGCAATGTCACACACACACACACACACACACACACATATATATATATATATATCGCACAGAATTACAGAACTGCGGAGTTGAAAGGGCTGCAAAGGGTCGCCTTCTGATTCCTGCATTGCAGGAAACTTTATTTCACAAATCTTATATACCGCTGGATTGTAAACAAGTTCAAAGGGGTTTACAGAGAGAATGAAACAATGAAATAATCAGTAAAAGCACTTGAAACCCGCTGTTTAAAACATTAATAAATTAATTATAAGCAACAATAAGGGGGAGACAGTTTAAAAGACACATCAACATCCTACATATTCTGGGTCGTCGTTATTTGACCCAGAGCATGCCTTGGAAACTCTTACTTTCTTCTCAAAGCTTCTCCTTTTTTATGTCCATGGAGTTTTCATGGCAAAATACTGGAGTGGGTTGCCAGTTCCTTCTCCAGGTGGATCACATTTAGTCTAAACTCTCGGCTATGACCTGTCTGTCTTGGGTGGCCCTGCACAGCATAGCTCATAGCTTCTCTGAGTTATTCAAGCCCCTTCGCCACGATGTTCTGGGTAAAGGTAAAGGGACCCCTGACCATTAGGTCCAGTCATGGCCAACTCTGGGGTTGCGGTGCTCATCTCGCTTTATTGGCCGAGGGAGACGGCGTACAGCTTCCGGGTCATGTGGCCAGCATGAGTAAGCCACTTCTGGCAAACCAGAGCAGCACATGGAAACGCCGTTTACCTTCCCGCCGGAGCGGTACCTATTTATCTACTTGCACTTTGACGTGCTTTCGAACTGCTAGGTGGGCAGGAGCAGGGACCGAGCAACGGGAGCTCACCCCATCGCGGGGATTCGAACCACCGACCTTCTGACTGGCAAGCCCTAGGCTCTGTGGTTTAACCCACAGCGCCACCCATGTCCCTATATACTGGGTAAAGGTAAAGGTAAAGGTACCCCTGCCCATACGGGCCAGTCTTGACAGACTCTAGGGTTGTGCGCCCATCTCACTCTATAGGCCGGGGGCCAGCGCTGTCCGCAGACACTTCCGGGTCACGTGGCCAGCGTGACAAGCTGCATCTGGCAAGCCAGCGCAGCACACGGAACGCCATTTACCTCCCCGCTGGTAAGCGGTCCCTATTTATCTACTTGCACCCGGGGGTGCTTTCGAACTGCTAGGTTGGCAGGCGCTGGGACTGAGCGACAGGAGCGCACCCCGTCGCGGCGATTCGAACCGCCGACCTTTCGATCGGCAAGTCCTAGGCGCTGAGGCTTTAACCCACAGCGCCACCCGCGTCCCTTATATACTGGGTAGGCTAGCCTAAACAAAAATGTTTCTAGCAGGCACTGAAAAGAGGAGCCTGCTGCATATACCTGGCAGTTTGGTGTAGTGGTTATAGTACTGGACTAAGACTGGGGAAGAGAGCACACCACAAATCCCAGTTTAATGACTGGGTCCCCCCCCTCAA